GTAAACCCAAGCTTTTGCAACTGTGTACTTAACCTCGAATACCAGGCTCTTGGGGCCTGTTTTAACCCATACAATGCCTTGTCCAACTTACAGACATAGTTTGGTGTGTTTTTGTTTTCATATCCTAGTGGCTGCCTCATGAACACTTCTTCCTCAAGAACACCATGAAGAAACGCGTTCTGAACATCTAGCTGTCGTAGACTCCAGCCTCTGGAAATAGCAATAGACAATACAAGTCGAATAGTAGCTGACTTAATAACAGGACTAAAAGTATCTTCATAATCTATACCAAACCTTTGCTTAAAACCTTTTGCAACTAGTCTGGCTTTGTACCTGTCTATACTTCCATCAGCTCTTTTCTTAATTTTATATACCCATTTGCAGTCAATCACATTAGCATCCCTCTTTGGGGGAACTAATCGCCAAGTTTTGTTTTGAATTAATGCATCATATTCAACATCCATAGCCTTCTTCCAATCCTTGTGTGCAAGAGCATCATGCAAATTTGTTGGCTCACCAACGGTTGTGAGAAAAGCTCGCTTGAGTTTATCATACCTGATTGTACCATCTGTATATTGCTTCTCCTTGACAATACCTGACCGAGATCGTGTATGACGGAGAGGAACTGAAGTTGCTGCAGAAATAGCCACGGATCCGTCTGGCACAGAAGATCCTCCGTCTGGCACAGAAGATCCTCGAACGGCAGATACGCTCCCCCCGTCGCCAGCGGCATCGGAACGCGTGGCGTAGGGCGAGACGCTGCGGCGCGGGCTGGTGGGCTCTGCACTGGTGGGCTCCGCGCCTGTCGGGCTGTCGGCCACCGGGGCAGAGGCGCTGATTGGCTCCGCGCCTGGTGGGCGGTCGGCCACCCGATCGGGCGTTACGGGAGACGCGAGGCGATCCGCCTGGGATCCCGCTCCCGTCAGACTGCGGCGCGAATCATCCTCGGATCGCGTGACCGCAGTGCCAGGCGAATCTGCCTGGGATCTGGCGCCTGGTCCTGTTTTGGCTGCATCTACACACATAAAATCATGACCTGTGGCTGCACAATCAACATGAGATTCAAAATTTTCCATGGAATTTTCCATATGATCAGTTCTAATTAATTCACCCCCGTGATCAGGAGAAGATAAAGGATCAGAAAGAAGGGAGATTTCAGCACGCAAAAGAGCTCCCGCATTAGGATGAAGTTTAGCAAATGGAAATAATGTTTCATCGAAAATAACATCACGAGATATATAGATACGACCGGATGAGATTTCTAGACATTTGTATCCTTTATGAAGATTACTATAGCCAAGAAACACGCATTGGGTGGACCGAAACTCAAGTTTATGGTGATTGTAAGGACGCAAGTTTGGGTAGCAAGCACACCCAAAGATTTTTAGAGAGCTATAGTCTGGTTTTTGATGAAACAAGCGTTCCAAAGGAGTGGTGTTGCCAATGACTCGACTAGGCAAACGATTTATAAGGTAAGTAGCCGTGATAAAGGCCTCATCCCAATATTTAAGTGGCATTGATGCATGAGCTAGAAGAGACAAACCAACTTCCACAATGTGACGATGTTTGCGTTCGGCTGAACCGTTTTGTTGATGTGCATGAGGACAAGAGACATGATGAATAATGCCAACGCTACGGAAGAAAGAATTGAGTTTCTCATATTCTCCTCCCCAGTCACTTTGGACTGCAAGGATCTTTCTATCAAACTGTCTTTCAACAAGTTTTTGGAATTCTTGGAAAACAGAAAAGACTTCAGATTTGAACTTAAGCAAATATATCCATGTGAATTTGCTATAATCATCAATAAAACTGACATAGTATTTCTTGCGACCAAAAGAATCTCTTGCATGACCCCATACATCACTGAAAATAAGCTCTAAAGGAGCATGAGACACACTATTTGACAGAGGATAAGGAAGTTGGTGACTCTTTGCACATTGGCAAGCTTCACAAACTGACTCACTTTCGGGACTACGTGACAACGAAAGATTGCCTTTATTGACTACTTGCTTGACTATATTTGGAGAAGGATGACCTAATCTTTGGTGCCATTTGGCTAAGGAAGGCTTGATGGCAGAATAAACTTGACGGTGACGCTTTCGATCAAAGACTCTTGATGTGATGGGGTATAATCCTCCAATGCATCTACCGTGATGGATGAGCTCCTTCGTTGCCCGATCCTTTATGAAAAAAATAGGTAGGATGAGTTTCAAAGAAAACATTATTGTCGGAAGTTAAACGAGACATGGAAGCTAGATTTTTATCGGCTTGAGGTACATGAAGGACATCTTTAAGGACAAGATCACGTTTAAGGCTAGGGGAATTAATAGAAGATTGACCAATGTGGGTGATGTCCATACCTCCACCGCTTGCGGTGTGAATCTGATCACTGCCGTGATACCTCTCTCGGAGGGCAAGCTTCTCTAGCTCATTCGTGACATGGTCCGTAGCTCCAGAGTCAGCATACCAGACCGTGTCACCATCAGCTCCGCCGTGCTCCCGCATGGCTGCAGCGACATGCTTTGTGTCGGGCACGAAGTCCTCATCATACCGGTGCCAGCAGTCAATGACTTCATGGCCCGGTTTCTTGCACAGCTGACATCTAGGACGACGGTTGTTGTTGTTGTAGCCGCCGCCGCCGTTGTAGTTGTTGCCACCGCGGTCACCACCATTGTTGCCGCGGTCACCAGGGCGAGCGTGGCCCTGGTTACCACTGCGCCCGCCGCCGCTGCTGTTGCCGCGACCGCGCCACTGCTGTCCACGCCCACGACCGCGTCCACGGGAGGCGACGTTGACAGAAGACTGGCGCAGATTGCCTCCTTGAAGCATGCTGAGGCGGGCGTCGAAGCTCAGGAGCTGGCTATACAGCTCCTGAACCGTAACAGGTTCGATCCGCGCCGCCAAGGCCGAGATCACTGGATTGTAGTCGATGTCAAGGCCGGCGATGACGTGGGAGATGATCTCGGCGTCTCCGAGCGGTGCACCGGCGCAAGCAACTTCATCTGTAAGGGTTTTAATTTTCCCAAGATATTCTGCCATGGTTAGATTACCTTTCTGCAGATTGGTGAGCGCCATCCTCGTGTTGATCTTCTGGGCTTGCGTTTGCGCAGCAAACATGGCATGGATAGAGTTCCACACCTCGGCCGGCGTCTGGAGCATCGCTACTTGGGCAAGGACCTCTCGAGACAAGGACCCCATGAGATACCCTTGTAGCTGCTGCTGCTGCGCAAACCAGATCGATCTGGCGAAGTTGAAGACCTGCTCTTCCTTCCCATTGTTGTCGATGGTGATGGTGGCAGGGGGCGCCGGGCTTGTGGCGTCGAGGAAGTGCTCCATCTGTGCTCCTTTGATCTGAGGTAGCACGACATCCTTCCAGAGGAGGAAGTTCGTCCTCGTAAGCTTCTCTGACGGAGGCGGACCGAGGGAGGGCGAGCTGCTGCTGGAGGTGGAAGATGAGGCGAAGGTGGAAGGTGCAGATAGGGACAGAGCGCTCATGGTGGATGCGGACGCGGTGGCAGCAGCGGTGGACGGCGTGGTTCCTGACATGATTGCCTCTCTCTCAATCTCGGTTCCTCTCTTCTGCGATCAACTAGATGGATTCCTTCTCGAGGGCTAGACGCACGAGAGGAAGGGCTCTGATGACCATATGACGAAGCGTAGAACCCTTTGTCTCGGGCCGCATTGTATTTATATGACCGAAGTCTTGAAGTACAAGTTGAGAGAGATCGATCGTGATCGTGATCTGCTCGAGAAGTGATCTGCTCGAGAAGTTACATGGGATACGGGAGAGAAGAAAAGATAGATAGAGATACAAGTTTAAACAACTATCCTATCTCTATACACTTTGTATTCTAACATTGCGTTGATGTTCAAAAAACCAAACTGTGGTTGGTTCGTCCGTTCAAAAAAACTGTGGTTAGTTCGCGTTCAGAAAACTGAATTATTTTGACGAGGGAACCAATAATTCCGTGTGCCGATTTGACCGATGGGACGGCAAAAAACAAGATCACGTTGTCGTGTGCTTGTTCGCCGACCGCATTGTTTGATTGTTGGGTGCCCCTGCGCGCACCTTACAAGAGCCAGTTGATCAGTTGGTCAGTAGTAGTAGTTGTGTGCCACCACACTTTGGCTCCTCCGCCCTCTGCTCTGCTCTGCTCGGCAGCCGAATCTCCCTCCGCCCGCCCGCCCGTGGTCAGGTGAGAAACCTCGCCCCTCCCCCAGCCATCGCTCCTCCATTTTGCTCGCTCCATTCCCGTTTTTTGCTGCTGTTGGCGCGTCCGGATTGGGATGATCTGGTAACTGGGTTCCTACGCCCCGGATCCTCAGGTTAAGCAAAAGACCACTGCTTCGGATTGATGTAGCGTTCTTACGAGATGTCGGCTTGCATGGTTTCGGTCATTTTGTCAATCAGATAGGGCTTTTGGTTCCATGGATTCTCTAATTAAGGATGACGCCTTGCTGAACAGAAACCCTCGGCACCTTGCCCCTTTGCCAGAGGATGCCGTTAACTAAGGTTTGCTCTTTCCTCTCGGCAGTATGTTTTTCAAGCAGTATATATGTTTCCTGATGCGTAAGAGTAACCAATTTGTGAGGCATTACAATAAGGACTATAAGGGGCATTTTTAACTGTGATTTTCTGTAAAGAAAAAGGAATGCGCATATAGCAATTGTAGTTCAGAAAAATGGTACGGTGTTGCCAAGACAAGTCTGCTTGTTGTGATGTAATTTTAAGTATGGTGGTTTGGATGAGCAATTGAGCATAGGATATGTAGTAGGATGACGGTTGTATGTATGGTCACATACACTGGCGGAGCTTAGGCAAGGCCGAATGGGCCATGGCCCGCCCAGCTCTGGCACTTCTCCTCATATATAGGAAATTATTTAGGAATGATATATCCTTACTCCTATGAAGATCTTCAATTGGTGGCGGTGGTTCATTCATCTTCGGGCCACGCCAACTATTGACCTGGCCCAAACAACTTAAATGAGAGCGGTTATGGATGATTTTTGCTCAGCCAAATGATAGTACGGTGTTCTTCTTAAACATTGTCGCATGGGTGTTGTGCTATTAGCTTTAGAAAGTTGGGAATCAGGACTAGGCCATACTTACTATGGAGCCATGATCTCTTGAGCATATGCTTTCTTTCTTGTGCTCATTCATTTTTCTGCATGTTATCCTAACCTAGCTATGTGTGTCAGGTGCACAAACGTGGGGCTATAAGCCGTTCCATTGACATTGGTAGCTTCTCTGGATACGGAGAACTGAATCAAGCTTTGGCCCACATGTTTGGCATGGAAGGGCAACCCGAAGATCGACAGAGTATAGGTCGTTGGAAGTTTATCTACCAGGATTATGAGGGTGACTTCCTATTTGTCGGTGATGACCCATGGGAGTAAGTCCACCGATAGTTTTCTGCCTATGGCTATATGAACTTCTGAAGATTCCCTGTCTCAGACATTCCCCGAGAAACTAGAATCTGTTAAAATGTCAGGAATTGATACGACTGAAACACGAATGTGTGCATATTTCCTTAAAAAAAATTGAGAAGTTTAGAACACTGTCCTCTTTTCTTTTACTGTTCATGATGAAAGATTATACTGGTCTGTTACCCTGACATTTTTGGCATTGATGCTGCAGGGAGTTTGTGATCATCGTCAAGTCCATTTGGATCCTGTCACCTCAAGAGGTTCTTCAACCGATGTTTCCGGGTGGTGATTTAACATAAGGCTGTAGCCTACCAAATCAACGCAGTGAAGAATATAGTGTATATGTGTGAGCTTATTGTTGTGAGGGCTAAAATTCTCCTAAGGCTAGCTTGATCATGGGTGCTGCGACGCGCCATTTAAATGCTACGTACATTGTATCTGGGCTATACATTTTTCGTGCTTGTACTATTTTCACACAACAATAGTGTGTTTAACTCTGAGAAAGAGAAGATGATAGCATCGAGCGACTAAGATTTACAGCTTGGCATACATAGCGCGTTACACATGACAACTCATTCGCAAAGAGTAAGGAGTAATATCTGTTGGAATTTGGAAAATAATCCGAGCTTGCTGATTTGGTTAGCTTCCAAATCATGATCATAGCAGGTAGTATATGTTTGTGTATGTTCCAAATTACACCACGAGTGGTCTACTCTAGTTAGTGTTATTTTGATGTGATGGGCAAAACCCATGCGGGGGTGAGGTCCAAGATTTAAAGTCGTGCATGTCCAGGAGAGGTCCAGAACACTCACCAATATCCGGGCCACCCCATGGGCACGTGTGAACGCCATATCCACTTTTTCTGTCTTCCCCACCATTATGCCCATGCTAGCCACCACTCGAGCATCCTGCAGAGGCTTAGAAGGAGCCCCTGTAAACCGCAACCAAACCTGCGTAAGCGGCTTCCCCTTAGGCTCAACCTGCTTCCACTCATGGAACTCCAAGATACACGTAGTACCAGGAACTCGACACAGGCCAAAGCTCAATAATCTCTGCAGATCATCCACAGTTGGGAACCCAACCTTAAAAGACCTGTCCTCGATAAGCACCAGTTCCCATCGAAAATCCCCGGGAACCAACTCCTGAAGCCTCCTCACAATCTGTGCCTCAGTCACCTCGCCCTGGGTTGCTTTCACAATCCCGGTAGTCAAGCTTAGTGTATCCTCCGGGACCTCTCTTGCCGCCGGGGACTCAAAAAACATGAGCTCAGCACAATAGACTCCATAAATGTTCAGCGTCGGAGGCAGGTCACGCAACAACGGGCACTCCCCGGAATCGTGTACCGGCTTGCCACACGTCTCGCACAGTTGGGCCACACATTCAGCAATGAAGTGACCCTTCTCACCGCAGCGGTAACAAAGCATCCTTTCCTTCTTTCGAGCATATTTGGACGCCCTTTCAGTAACCTCCTCCACCATCCCAGCCTCAGGAACCTCAACACTGACCCCGACGTTTGCCTCCATCGGCTGGGGCTCGGTAAGAGTATGACCATCCTCCGCTGTAGACGCCGCGGGATCAACTGCCCTGGGCGGGGGCGGTCGGCGAAACCTCCCACGACTCCCACCCCGACCACCACGATGGCCACGAAATCCTCCTCTCTGACGGTGATCCGGGCCGGAAGCCCCCTCAACAAAACCACCTGCCGGGCCGAGAAACGATCTCTCAGCAGACCCGTCACTCTGCCAGGCATAGCCCCGGCCGCCCCCCGTGGATGAAGACCCTCTATGTTGTCCAACTCCATACGCGTCCGAACCGTCGTCCCCCCACTGACCTCGGGGCGGGTCATAGGACTCTGTCGTGTTGGTGTTCTGTCTCGTTTGCAATGATCCCGAACGATCCTGCGCAGGCCACGCGACGTAGTGCGGTGGAGGCTTGGCACGAGGCTGGTAGCCGACAGTAGGCGCAGCTCCTGAGACCGCACCACCCCGGCCTGGTACTGCAGCTTCCGGCGCCGAGGGCCGTGTCCCGCCCCGACCCGCGGCCGGTTGCACACCGGTCGTCACGCCCGGTACCGGGGGCCGAGTCCCTCCCCGGCTCGCAGCCGTCGGCGCAGCGACCACTCCTGGTGCTGGAGGTCTCGGCCCGCCCCGTCCAGGCAAAGGAAGCAGCGGCACTTGCCCTGGCCGGTGGGTGCCCAGATTGCCCGCTCCACGACCAGGGAAGCCGGGCACCGCGCCATCACCCGCCGGTGCCCCACGTCCAGTAGCCGCATCTGTCGGCGGCGCAGCCCCGCCCCGATCCGAGGGGACCACCGTGACGGTTTTCTTGGCCGGCGGCGCTGCCGCCCCGCGGCCAACCATAGGCCGGAGAGGCGTGATCCTCTTCGCCCGACCCGAGCCACACGCATGAGGGCGGCCAAGCTTCAGGAGGCTGCGTTTACATCTGGTATGTCCGTCAACTTATCTAATTCACTATTGCATTTTTCTAATGAGGACATTATAAATAATGCAAACCAATTAGGAGTTTCACTAGGTGATACGGACAGTGAGATTACTAAGTCGGTGAATGATATTTTAGATCTGGAGGCGGAACGTGCTTTAGAGACTATTCGTAATCTTGCAGCAGTTAAACCAATGAATGATGATGAGATTAATGCGTTAGGGGTTAGAGTGCTTGATAGCTTGTGTGCAGATCTAGCACCCACCAACCATGACGCTGAGGAAGATTATGTTTCCCCAGAGAACGATTCGACTAATATTGGTGAACCCGGTCATGAGGACCGGGTGCCTGAGCTTAGTAAACCTAAGCGTAAGTGGAAACGGAAGATCTATCCCGATTCCGCAGTTTGTAGGAGTGCTAGGATTCGAACTACCAAAAAATTCAATGATGAACTATGAGAGGAATTTTTTGGAATAGCAGAGGTCTAAAGGACTTGGCTAAAAGAAGATTCCTGGCTGAGACAGCTGTAGAAGAGAAGTTAGACTTCGTTGCTCTATCAGAGACGGGTAGAGATAACTTTGCACCGCAGTTTCTTTCCTCTCTGGTTGGTGGTATTGATTTCGATTGGCATTGCCTCCCTCCGCGAGGAAGATCGGGTGGTATCTTACTCGGTGTGAGATGCGATTCGCTTGAAGTCCGTAGTGTAGTGATGGGCGATTTCGCGGTCAAGTTTCGAGTTAGGTCTAAGATGGATGGCTTGAACTGGGCTTTGGTGGCGGTTTATGGTGCCGTGCAACCAGAGCTTAAAGCGGAGTTTCTCGCAGACCTTGTTCGAATCTGTGGATCAGAGCAGCTGCCAATTTTAGTTGGAGGTGATTTCAATATCATCAGGAGGAGAGAGGAGAAGAACAATGATAACTTTGATGGCAGATGGTCCTTCATGTTCAACACCATTATTGAAAGCTTGGATCTAAGAGAGATAGAACTTTCTGGTCGAAAGTTCACATGGGCTAACGCTCTGCCAAACCCAACCTACGAAAAACTTGATAGAGTTCTTGCAAGCGTGGGGTGGGAACAGAAATTCCCGCTGGTTACGGTGCAAGCTCTTTCGAGGGGAATATCTGATCATACCCCATTGTTCGTGGACTCAGGGGAGCCGAATCATGTGGGTAACAAGAACACCTTCTCCTTTGAGACGTCGTGGTTTGAACGGGAAGGGTTCTTAGATTTGATAGCCAGGGAATGGGTTAAAGATGTTCGAGGCAAATCTCCAATTGAGAGGTGGCAGAATAAGATTAGGAACTTGAGAAGTTTCTTACGAGGTTGGGCTAAGCACCTTAGTGGTGTGTATAAGATTGAAAAGGATAGACTCCTTACTCTTATACATGACCTGGACATTAAGGCTGAATCCAACATTTTGGCACCAGCAGAGCTTCAGGTTAAAAATGAGGCGGAAAAGAGGTTAAAAGAACTACTCCGCGAAGAAGAACTGAAGTGGGCTTTACGTGCTAAAGTACGTAGAGTGGTCCAGGGGGACGCGAACACTCAGTTCTTCCATTTAATAGCTAATGGCAAACACAGAAAGAAGCGAATATTTCAGCTTGAGCAGGATGAGGGCACTATTTTAGGTCAGCATAACCTAAAAACATACATAACCGACTATTATAAGCAGTTATTTGGACCGCCGGAGGAGAATACAGTGTCCCTCGATGAGTCCAGAACTGAGGATGTGCCTCAGTTATCGGCTGCTGATAATGACATTCTAGTTGCCCCGTTCACGGAGAAGGAGGTTTTCGATGCCATTGCACAGATGAAAAATAATAAGGCTCCTGGACCGGATGGTTTCCCGGCTGAGTTCTATAAGAAGTGCTGGCACATTATTAAGGGGGATCTTCTACCTATGTTTCATGATCTGTTCTCTGGACAGCTTCAACTATTCCACTTGAATTTTGGGACTATCACACTACTTCCTAAGAAGACGGATGCGGTCAGAATTGAGCAATTCAGGCCTATATGTCTCCTTAATGTTAGTTTCAAAATTTTCACTAAGGTCGGGACTAACAGACTCACACAGATTGCGCATTCTGTGGTGCAACAGTCCCAAACCACTTTCATGCCGGAAAGAAATATCCTTGAAGGGGTGGTAGTCCTGCATGAAACGCTCCATGAAATCCACTCCAAAAAATTAGATGGAGTGATTTTTAAAGTGGATTTCGAGAAAGCGTATGACAAGGTCAAATGGCCATTTCTCCAACAGTCTTTGCGTATGAAAGGCTTTGATGAAGCCTGGCGCAGACAGGTTCAATCATTTACGCAAAAAGGTAGTGTGGGAATTAGAGTTAATGATGGCATAGGTCACTATTTCCAGACACATAAAGGCCTAAGACAAGGAGATCCGATGTCCCCTATCTTATTTAACATAGTGGTGGATATGTTGGCAGTCTTGATAGGAAGGGCTAAGGAAAATGGTCAAGTAGGTGGATTGGTGCCTCATCTTATTGATGGAGGTGTTTCTATCCTACAATACGCTGATGATACAATCATCTTTATGGAGCATGACTTGGCTAAGGCAAGAAATATGAAGCTGGTGTTATGCCTATTTGAACAATTGACCGGGTTAAAGATAAACTTTCATAAGAGCGAGCTGTTCTGTTTTGGTAGGGCCAAAGATGAACAGGATGCTTATAGGCAATTGTTTGGATGTGAGTTGGGAGAGCTACCATTCTCATACTTGGGAATTCCTATCCACCATCGTAGGCTAACGAACAGAGAATGGAAGTGTATCAAGGACCGATTTGAGAAGAAACTGAGCTGCTGGAAGGGCAAGCTCATGTCATATGGAGGCCGATTAATCCTAATT